CTTCTGCCTGAAAAAACACTACAATGGTCTGATAGCCTAAAGTTAAGATTTACGGAGAGTTCTTAGATGCTCGCTGCGATTGATTAATATAAATTAAAGTTGAAGACTCAAATGTTATAGGTGAAAACCCATTTACTGTGAATTGTTAGTATAATTAGTATATTTGCAATAAAATCCATCTAATCATCACATAAAATAGAATCACTAGTGTTCTTGTTCACCAAAGAATTAATTTAGGAGAATGTTGCCGCATTTTCGCACGCTTTTTCAAAAAGTTTTGCTAATGATTATTAAACTATAAATGTATTTTTACTGATCTATGCGCTGGTTCATAAAGGGTAAGATGAAATATTCTAAATCCTCCGTCTCGATAGTGTTATATATATATGTTAATGCTAAGAACTGCTTAGATTAAAGTAAACGCCAATGCTTTCACTATTCTCACGCATAGCTTTAAGAGCTATCATAGCTTTAAGAGCACACATCTATAAATATGTTAGTCATATGCATTTAAGTTGAGGGCACTTAACAACAGCTACTCATAGGCAGTACTGTTAACATACATACATATTTATTAAGGTTTTCGTTAATACCACGGTTGATTCTTTTTTTTTTTTTTTTTTTGTTGATACCCTTTGCAGTTTAAGTTTTTGCCATAAAAACAAGATTTTAACGTAATTTTCAATTTAAACCAGATAACGGACACCTGAACATTCACAAATGTAAGTATAGTTAGTTGAAGTGTTGGAAGCTCCCAGCTTAAGTCCTTAGCTTGTTCATTTAAAATTCTTAATTACACCGGGGGAAAAAATTCTGTTGCAATGTTGAAAAAAAAGTGCGATAACATGCAAAATAAAAGCAATAACATAAGCTGCTTTGAGATACGCTACTTTTTTGAAATTTTTGATATACGTTAAATATATTTATAGTTCTTAAAAAAGTTCATACACCTTTCTTTAAATAAATTTTTTTATTAAAATAATTTACAAATTTGTGGAAATTTTTTAATATAAAACCGGATAGATTTATCAATAACGTATTTCTTATATTAATGCTAGACATAGTTCGGAACTGTTAGGTTAATATTTCTTTCTCATGCTTGTAACTTTTTCTCATAAATTGTAAGACTTGGGACTACATATTCTAGATCATTAATAATTACTTGAGTTATACTTAAAAATATAAGTAGCTTGTTATATATAAAATGTCTTTTGCCTGAGCAAAACTTTTTCACCTCGAAAGAAAATCTTAAAGTGTAGCATTTAGATAAAGAAACGAGTAGCATGATTCAAAGCTTGTTATTTAGCAACACTTCTAACCATTCAATGATTTAACATACATACATATATCGCATTTCGTTCTGCGATAAGTCGCAATAAAACAATTTATGCTGTTATTGCCTTACTTATGCTTTGCTATCTAAGCGAGTGTTCTTTTGCCACCCGCGTAAGGTAAAACGGTGTTAAACCATGTTAAAAAAATTCATTATTTAAAGTGTCTTAATTCGACATGCTACAAATACTCTAAGCATTATGTGCTGAGAATAAAGCCCTCTCTCTTCTCCTTATGAGAGAGTGAAATGGTGTGTGTCATAGATAATCAAACGTCGAATATTTTGAGGTGTCAGATTTGATTGATGTACATTATTGCAAATAAAAAATCTTTGTTAACTTTATTTACATGATATTTGCATTACAGTTAACGGCTGGCACAATACGCTGCTCAAAATTTATTAGATAAGTAAGAGGTCATTTATCATTCGTTGATAGATGAAAAGCAGAAAGGATTGCAGATTAATTTATTAGACTTCGCGACTTTCGGTCAAGAATGCAAAACTTGTAATAACAGTGTATATAACGGGATAATGAGTACACACTGGAGTAGTAGATAAATCATTTGTATATGGTAAATTAAATACTACTATTAGAATAAACTATTTGATAGTGAAAATAATATATTATATATGAATAAAAAACGAAAACGTTTTTAACCAGAGAGGAATTCAAAGGACTTTACTTGAAGTTTCATCTTTAAAATGATTGATATAAACCTTGGTCATTGGAAAAAATAATGAACTTTCAAAATCTAAACTAAAACTAAAATTGATTTTTTTGGCTTTAGTACTTATGTTTAAATTTTGCGAACTATTGGGAAACTGTAGGTGTAAATTCTCCTGAAGCCAATAGTCGTCTCACAGATTTTGCTGGGCTTATGCACAGCGCACCGAGCCTTTGAACTCTTTCGATTGGCTTTCGGTAGATATATTTACATAAGCCAGTCAACAACCGCACTACTGCACCGTAGAGAGAGAAAGCCTCCAGAGAGAGAGTTATGTCCCAACTAACGAAGGGAGCCGCCATAGACGGGTTTTGGACTACAAAATTTATGAATTCTTTTGACTTTTAATATAATTATGTTACTAAATATCCTATCTTTAAAATTGCATCAAACTGGACACAATGTGCTAAGCTTTACTAAAATCAGTGCGAAAGTTTAGGAGTTTACCCCGGACAAACAATGTGACACGTAATTTTTATATATTTAGATATACATATATGAGTGTGTATATATACTAAGAATACATGTGAGGTCATTCATCACTTACACAGGATCAGCGATATCATGAAGAGTAGACAGCAAATTAATTAATAAATAAAAATATAAGTTTAGGTATAAATATAACAAACAAAGACAATTACTTATAAACACATGAAAGTTGTTGGAGTTTTAACAAGCCAAACTAGTATGAGGAGATAAAATGCTCACATGAACTTAATGCGGGACTTTGTAGAATTATTCATCTGTGCGGAATGAAATATAGAGCGAAGCGCATGTAATTTATATTATTTACGAACAAAGCCCAACACTTCTGTTTATCTTACTCATCAGCCTAAATGTCTATCAAGTTGCTAGTCTATTTATTAACCTATTTTGTTAGACATTTATCGAAATGAAAAATTATCACGCAAAACGCACCGAAAGCCAAGCACCCACCACATTCGCTCTTAATATTTTATTCATTTCGCTTCTTTTTTGTGCAAGCACACATACACACTTATACAAAACGAAATACATTGAAGAGCTTAGTGAGTATGTGTGTGCATGTTTGTGTGCGTGAATTGAGCACTGCCACTACTGTCGGCTTATGCTCTTAAGCACCGCATAAGTAAAATAAATGAGTGTAAGCGAATTCTTCAAGTAAGCGTGTGCTGACGAATTTCTGTAGCCAGCATTTAGGCGCAATATATATTTCATTATGCTGATTTATTTGCTCAACTGACAACTTAAATGTTATCCTTTTGCTACAAGTTAACCAACAGATGATTACATTTTCTTACAGCATAAAAAAAAATATTATTAAATAAATGGTGAAATTCGCATTCAATATACTATAAATGCGACCGCCAAAAGAAGGTCCCTGCATAGGTAGCAGCGTATACGAGTAAGTACAAAGAAACATTTTTGGCATGTTAACAACTTATTTGCTGTACGTACGTAGTGATAGTCAGCATATATCAGCGTCTGATAACGATATTTTTATAATAATTTCCTATGTAAAGGCGTTTTATTACTTCTTTTAACTATAAATAATATAATATAAATAACTCCACGCATTTGAATATGCTCACTTCTCTTCACCTTTTCTACTCCACCCAGATTTCAATTTATTATTTACCCATTTCTTACAATTTAATCAATCTGTACCGAAAGTTATTCTGATTCATAAATCATATATTTGAGATATTATCACTTCAAAAAAGGCTGACTTACGTAAATTTTATTAGTTTGGAACGATCTCTTTTTTTACTTACATGCAAGAGTTGGTTGGTTGGTCGGGAAAGGCTCAGTAAAAACAAAGTAGTACTGAAGTATAAAAAAAAGTTAAACAAAATAAAAATATATGAAGTATAAAAACATCAAAAAATCATATATAGCCAAGAAGATAATAATTAATTCTCTAGTGGCGATTCCCACCTCAAAATGTTTGCTCGGATTTTATATTTCAAACAGCATAATCTCGCAATCCAAAATTTAATAATTAACGAATTAAGCTCTCAAATTTATTTAACAGCCATTGCCAATAAGCTGCCGTAGATTTGCAGCGCTTAACAGTCCGAAAGCAACTGTCTGCAACTACAGTTTACATGTAGGTTGTGGAACACTCAAAAAGTACTGAATAGAAATAAATTAAATGCAAGAATAATCAGAATTAAAGATATTACTGGTTAATAATTTAGATATTCACTTTTGAGAATGATTTAAATTAAAGTCTGCTATAATGATCCAATCTGAACAATTTCTTCGGAGATTACACTTCTAATTTATTTAATAAAAGCGTGAAATGTCGTGAACATGTTTTGACACATAAAAACGTTTTCCACAAAAAGAATGAATTTTGATCGATCAGTTTGTATCGGAGCTATATGTTACAAAGGACCAATCTGAACAATACTTTCGGAGATTAAACCATTACTTTAGACAATATACTGGCCTGAATTTTGTGAGGATATTTTGTCAATTAAAATTTTTAGAAACAAGGGCTGGATTTTGGTCATTCAGTCACATGCATAATAACCGCTATATTCTATAGTGGTCCGATATTGGCGGTTCTGATAAATAAACAGGTTCTTTGGGAGAAAAGGACGTATGCAAAATTTCAGATTGATATCTCGCAACCTAAAGGAATAGTTCGCGTATATACAGTTCGTCAAGGTGATCACTTATATACATATATACGATTACTTTATATGGGTATTAAAAACTTCGTGGCAATTTAATATATCCTGTTCAGGGTATAAATATTGAATAAAAAGGCCAACCAAAGGTATGTTACAGACCTAATCATATCCTAAAGAGAATAATTTAAGAAATGCTAACCAATTTTAATACAAAAATGTATTTCCTACATATATAAAAAACAGTAATAACGGGCGCACCTAACATAAGCCAAAATTTTTCGATGAACAAAGAGTCCGCTTTCAAATGGAAAATGCTGAAAGTAGACAACAACAAAATTTATCAAATAATTGAAAACATAAATTTCAAAATTTATAAATATGTATATGTAATAACAGTTTATATATTTTGAGCTTATTATAGATTACTTCTAGTCTAGTATATGTGTTATTCAACAAATGATGTCGCCTCCAAGTTTACAGTCGCTCAGATCGAATAATGGGTACTACAGATTGATTGGCATTTACTTAAAGGTACTTCCGTATTTCACGACAGGATCTACTGTCAAATTAAGCAGTTCAACAATCACAATATTTTACAGGATTTTTGGGCTTGGGATCAGCGCCTATACTAATTGAACTGGTGGCATTCTAAGACTTGGCAAAAAATTAATTTCTTTAACGAAAAAATATTTGTCTACTTATGTGACCCTCACATAATTGACTTACACGCAAAGCAATACATCAAAGGCTAAAGTTCAACAGATTTCCAAACAATTTGCGCACAAAGAAGGCAACAAAAGCAAATTTACCAAATCAAAAATCGGCAAACCCACACCGAGAAAAATAGCGCAACCTTATTTAAAATCCACTGAGCGCTTTGGCTTCTCAATCAGCGACGGCAGCAAGACGAATTAGTAACCACAGAGCATTACAAAACAATTACTCAATAATGTCAAACTACACCGAGTCACTCAATGCGTTTTCCGTTTGCAATGGTTTCCTAAATCTTCATTTGGCATAAATAAATTCCTGTCACAATTGCCGCAAAGTCTTCACATTACTCTAATTCAATCGAAATGTTAACGCTTTGCTTATACACATACACACACACAAGAAGGAAAACAAAGCAGCAGAGGGATTACAAATGCCAAAGCAGAGTCACAAACGTTTACGCTTGCAAACGCATGTGCTTAAGTAAATACTTAAGATATGCTGACTACAAATATTCGGCGCTTTGTATGACTGCGTGAGTGTGTGAGTCGACTTACTGCTTGACAACGGCGTCTTTCACCAATTCGCCATTAAAGATCAATCAAAATCGATTATCCTTGATTAGTTGACGTTATCCTTTTGAAGTCGCACATCATTGTCAGCTCAGCTAAATTTATATTCGCATGTGTAAGCTTGCATATGTGTGCCGTTAAGTCGCTTACCATTTACGGGTATGTGTTGATGACTTTTGCTTGCTATCTTCTGCTTTTGCCATCTAATCGACGAGGACTTGCAACTGCCACTGCTGCTTTCCTCCGTTTACGTTTTCTTTTTTGTTTTCAAAAACATTTATTTCCAAGTTTACAGTCGCTCAGTACCCTTCTCATCTCGATATCCGTTGCCCTCTCACTCATTTCCTTAACCACCGTCATCCTTTTTATCTTATCGCAGACGGGATATGTTTGTGCTGGAGCTGCCATTTTATTGTATTTACCATATAGGGAAATAAAAATAACATTAAATGATTTTTTATATGAAAACATCTACCTACCTCCCAACGAAATTAATTCGCTGCATGGGATTTTCTTGACAACTTTATTATCGAATAACTTTTTTTGTAGGAGTCTCATGAAGTTTTAGTGGCAACCCCTTCCTTTTACTGATACGCAATAAAAAAACTACGTTTGCCCTAACTCACGCCATCGACTCAAGCACATATCGCTAACCAGCGATAGTCTATGTTAAAAGAAAGCATTTTCTTCAAAATTTCAAAATTATTATTTTTTCTTATTTTAAACAGAAGCTTAGTAGGCGCGAACGCCGAAAATTTTTGTTTACATATTGTACATCCTAATAGTGCTTACTCCATTTAGGATATAGGAAAATTGAAAATGTTACTCCTTGAAATCTTACTCCAACATTTCCCCACAATATCGACTACGATCTTTATATAATGGAATTCGTACCTCTGCAAAATTTTAATCCGATCGGCCCAATCAACTTAACTAACAAATAAGTAAGCAAGTCTAAGTTCGGGTGTAACCGAACATTTTATACGCTTGCAATCTGAAAAGGCGGGAAATACCTTCAGGCGTTGTACTGGACTAATGAAAATCAATATATACCTACAGTATATGGGAGCTGGGGTAATTCTTTGATTGATATCACACATTTTCAGCTTTAACTATAGTATATCCAATTGTATACATTCACCTAATTTTGCTGAGATATATCATATATTGATCGATATATATGTGTACATAATTCTCATCAATTTTCATATATAAGTAATACCTATAATAATTTGGGGGCTAGGGTATATCTTGACCCGATTTTATCCAGTTTCCTGAATGAGATGCCCTCTGAATTTCATTAAGAAATCTCACATGTAGACAAAGAAAAGTATTGCCCTGAATTCGTCAATTTAGGCAAGAGGATAAACTGTTATTAGAAAGCGATTTTTTCTGTATTTCATTATGATTCCTCACATGCGGTATAAAGTCAGCTGGAAGTTCGAACATATTTATATTAGGTATATGGCGGCAAAGGTAAGTATTGACCCGATTTGATCCATATTTGGTATAAGAGCATTGCTGTCATCACAAAAATATTCCAAATTTCAATACGAGACCTCACAGATTAGCCAATATGTTCGGTAAAAAAATTAGCTATATACACTGGTGTCCACATATTTGGTGTCTACGGAAAAGTTATACTCCGATTTCGACAATTTTTGGGCGTAACATGAAAAGGCTTGAGAATACTATTTATGAAAAGTTTTATTGGGACAACTTCATTGATATTTGATTTGAAAACTCTAAAGTGAAAGAATCAGATGAATTGAAAAGTTTGTTACATGGGAAGCAGGCGTGGTTGTCATCCGATTTGGTCCATTTTCAGAGTGTATTATAGGAATATGTGAAGCACCTCATACACAAAATTGGGTTGAAATAAGGCAAGTAGTTCTTGCGATATACGATTTCATCTAAAGGTGAGCGGTGCTACACGTATTTTTCAATTTGTACACCGCATCGTAAGAGCACTTCACTACCATCTTGGTTGTGAAATTTAATGCTGCGATGCACCATTTGTATATTCAGTAAGTTATCGTAGTTTTCAACAAAAATATTCGGAATATATATGTACAATTAATCATTAAAGGGGCGGAGCTGCGATCGCCTGCATCAAATTACAGTTTTGTATCGTATTGTAGAGTTTAGTTATGACACTTTATAGGTTTAATGGCGCTTTGTGGTTGTGGCGCATAACAGTGGTCCGACTACGCCCATCTGCAATACCATCCGTCTTGCGGTACCAAGAAACATGTGTACCAAGTTTCATTAAGTAATTTCAATTTTTACCCAGACGGACAGATCTTCACAGAGTCACCCGGATTTGAACTCATTTCTTCGTCCTGATCATATATATCAATTAGTTTTAAGTGATACAAACAACCGTTAGATGAACAAAACTATTATACTCTGTAGCAGCATATTGCACCCGTATTAATATGTGGCCGAAGAGCGCAAGCATGAGAGCATACCCTATGAGAGAGAAAAATGCTGCCGCTCATTTGAGAACCTCTGCGCATTGGCACCGCTAAATATTTTATTATATGAAAGCAATGAGCTATTCAATTTAAAGAATGACAACCACAGACAGATGCTAAAATCTGCAACTCGCTAAACGTTAAAAAACAGTATTAGTTGTTGGCTATAGAGAGAGTCTGATTTGCGTTATTTTAAGAAGACGCTGTGGTGCGGTGAGCACGACTGACGAGATGTTGTGGTGTAGTTTCGTGAACTTGCTTAAGTGAGAACTTATTTGACTGGACTTCTGTAAAAAGTATTTCACGATACTTCAAGGTGACTTAGGTAAACGTCATACAAGCGACATAATTCATCACTCTCCACTTAGCCAACGATAACTTTGAGTTTTGCATATTTGAACACCGCATGTTGATATAGCCTTATTGCTTGCGCAACTACACTTCTTTAATTGCCTGCATTGAAACAAAAAAAAGAAAGCATTTTAAAATTTTAACACACAATTCCGTTTAATTTCACGCAAAATACCAAATTCTAAATATTTTAATTTGTTTAAGCGTCGATTAGGCGAAAACGATTCGGTGCAACCAATAGAATTTTCTTTTTTAATCAAAGCCTGCACATGACACTCGGTGTATGAAGTCAAAATTAAATGTTTTTCCTATCAATTTTGACAGCTTCATGACAGCAGTAAATAAATTTCGAACAAAAACGAAAAGATCGGGGGAAAGGCATGCAGCAAATATGAGCTTATGAGTTAGTACGGGGCAATAAGTTGGAAAAAACACCAATGAATTTATCTACAGAAACATATACTCGTATGTATGTATGTATTGGCATATGTATGTATGTATTCAAACATGTAGGTGTAGGCAAACTTATATATTATACATGCACTCTGGTATGATTTCGCACATATGTAGTTGTTGAAAGCCGAATTGTTAGTGGCAGACTTGAAAATCAACGTTGAGGTGAGATTTCGCGCAACATTTAACACATAAGTTGATGTATACACATACACACCGGTACCACTTACAGCACGACGACAGGGATAAAATAGTATTACAAATTCGTTGCCGCACGCACCATAAACCGTAGCATCAGCAGCAGCGCACCCTCAGCAATAAGCGCCAACCAGACATGGGAGCCGACTTGGCAGCCACTGAAAGCCAAATGGAGCTAACTGAATGCATACATACACACATGTATAATAAATAGGCATACTCAAACCTATCTCATGACGCTGCGTAAAGCATATAATTCGTTTAACTTGACGTTGCTGCGGCATCATAACGAAAGCCAATCCACCAATCCGTCAACAATCAACAAGAAAAAACGGCAAAAATCAAACCATAGCTTAAGGTGTTGAAAGTTCGCGATATTGATGGAAAAAATATTTTGAATAGGTGCGTCTACACCAAACAAACGTACAAGCACACGTATTCATGCACTGCAGAACTTCAAAGGCGCGCATGGAGTTTTTGCAGCGTTTTTCGTCGATTGCGTGCGACAGCTTGTCAAGCTGGGGATTCAATGTATTTGATGGAAAGGATATTTTACGCCTTATTCATGATGCTAAATAATAATTCATGCGGTTTAACTTTGATTGATGACAATTATGCGCACATACATACATACATATGGTATACACAAGCATGAGAGTAAAATAATGGTGACCTAGCGGATGTTACGGTAAACTGCTATAAAATCAGAACGAGGAGCTCTCTTGAAAGCTTAGTATTATATGGCGGCAGGTATTTTTCAAACTTCACAGAAAATTTAAAAAAATATTGGTATCAACACTTTACTTTTTTCCCGAATTCTTCGATTCGCCAAACATTGGAGAGTAGTGAATCGCCCAGAAAAATATTGCTGCATACAAATATTAGGAAAAGTAAAAAGTTCGTTCGATTTTTTATTGATTTTTCAAAAGTTGATAACTTTGTGTACATTTGTCCGATTTAAGTCAAATATACGCCGTTTTGTTCGTAAATTTGTTGCCAACGAGATGCCAACTTCATTATACCTCTCTCGTAGAAGACTGCGTCCCTATTGCCAAAAAACTCGGAAAGCCAATTTTCACAGGCCTCTTTTGATGCCAACTTCTCACTATTAAGCGCGTTCGCCATGGACAGGAAAAGATGGTAATCACTTGGTGCTAGGTCCGGACTATAAGGTGGGTGCATTAGAACCTCCCATCCGAACTCCAGGAGCTTCTGGCGAGTCACCAAAGACGTGTGTGGCCTGGCGTTGTCCTGATTGAACACAATTCGGCCTCTGTTGA